GAACTACAATGGATGTGCGACCTTTTTGACAGAATAAGTAATATTCTCATCTGTAGCTCCCTGAATAAGGTTTAGCAGTGCCTCTGCCTTCCCTGGTCCTAGCCTGAGTGAATTTCTGAGCAAAACTACTCTTTCACTTGACTGAACTTGGTCCTCTCTCTCTCTCATTAGCTCCTCAATGACATTATAACCTATTATCGGTCTCTGCACTATGTCTCTGCTCACTAGTACTGGAACTAGTATCTCATCAGACCTTGTTGTTTTAGCTCTTGGGTCACAGAGACTAAGACTGACCTCAGCCCAGCCCTGAAAAGGTATTTCTAAGCCATTGGCAGCTCTTAAGTCCAGCAGTTCATCATCACTTAACAAATCACTTATGGGGTTGATTTTTGCATCAGGTAAGTTCTGGGACTTCCATGCCTCACTTATGATGGTCACTTGTGCTCCTGTATCCCACAGGGCTTGAGTCTTCACGCTGTTCATTTTGCACCAGACAAGACGCTTTTTGCCTACCAGCTGTGCCACTTGCTTGCGTTTTGTACCAAGATTGTGTGGTTGGAGGAGTTGGTGTTTATGTTTTCCATTTGCCTTTAAAGGTGCTAAGGAAGGGTGATGAGTGGGTAGTTGTTTCCCCCACCCCGATACTGTAGGTGGGCTTACAGGTGTTACAGGTGTGGTTACATGTGTCTCACTGCCACACTTGAAACAATGATTACAGTCAGTTTTGTCTTGCTGACATGCTGCACAACGTCTCTTTGGTCTCTTAAAAGCATAAGCTGGCGCTTTCATTTGATTTTCATCACCAGCCGTCTCTCACGCTGGACCGTTTGTACAAGGGATGCCACTTGGCCTGTGAACTCCCTGATTGCTGTACTGCTCTCCTCCAGTTTTGTGAACAGGGGATTTTCTTTAACCTGTTTGCTAGGCTTAGCTCGAAGTGTGGGTGTTTGAGGGTCTGTTTCATCCCCACTACTCTCTACCAAGTTCAGACTTGCCCTACGAGTGGCTTTGTTTGTTGCTTTAATCTTTTGGGCCCTCTCATTTTCGTTATATTGAGCAATCTGCATCTTTTGCAGAAGCAGTTCATCACTACAGTTCTCATTGGAGGTGCACCCGCATCTCTGCTCTTATGTTATCATTTAACAAGCCTGTCATGATAGACTGGGAGCACTGACTATGAACTAACTCTCTGTTGTATTTCAGGCCAGACTGGGCACTTTCAGATGCAAATTCCAAAAGCACAGACATGCCTTCGTCCTCCCTCTCCAACAGCTCTTCATGTTCACCAAACTTTACAACGTGCTTAACCAGGGCACAACGATTTTTATTTTTAATGTCCTCAGAGTCTCTGCCAGATATTTTCCAGTACTTACAGACTTGTTCTAGTTCTCTTACAGTCAGTACAAGCAGTTTCTTTTCTATTTCCAAAATGAACTCTTCTCGGTGCTCCGACATCTTGCGTGTTACGTGCGCGAAAAACAACAAAACGGGATGGTGTCGTACTAGCTAGACTTCAACTGTTCAACTAACATTAGCTCAGTTAGCTTACTCCATCAGTCTACCGCTCTCACACACCGTGTTTACCGCGTTTTCCTTCAGTCTTACGCCGTGAAGATGTAAAATCTCGGTGGGACCTCCAAACGGTTACACCACTCAGACAACAGCGGCATCAGTATTGTTTTATTTCTTCACCGGCAGGACTGGCAAAACCTATGAAAAACAGCTCATCAAGCGGCACCAGGAACACACACTTTGTCTGAGGGCTACGTCCAACAACAGCGACTTCTTCTAATGTGGCTTTTTGACATATGTCACAGCTTATCCTGCCCCTACTAGCATTGCAATGAAACATTATTGAACAAGCATTCCAGTATACTAGGCTATTAAAACAACTTGCTACATTAGAGTAACTGGCATGTATTACACACAAAAAAAACACATTATCATATGTATACATATGCAGTAGCAGTACCAGAGCAGATTAGAGGTAGAGGTTAGACAGAACTGTCAATCACCTGCTGTGCTGTGGAGACACATGGATACTGATATGTAAATGAAGCTTTAAAAAATTTTATGTTCTTCATATCACATTCATTTTGCTTTTCTGTATGTTTCTTAATGTTTCATTCAACACTTGTTTTGCTGTCAGCAATTGTGGTTTTCACAAAGTATTTTATAGTAACATATGCGGCATTGAAAGGAGTTTAAAAAGTTGAATAGTGTTATTTATTTGCTGAAATCCCATATCTAACATTTATAAAAATACCATAAACTTAGCATTACAAACATTGTTCTTGTGCCACTGTGGAACAACTTAAATATGTGTTTGTTCTTAGTAAACTGTATTGTTTTTCAAAGTTAAGATTGAATGTTCCTGCTCTAAAATAACTATAACAAGCTCAATTCAGTTTATGTTCTAGAGCTTTTGATCAAATTACATCACTTGTCACTTGTTGATATTTGAACTTTGAAGTCAATGTGGAGAAGAAATCCTAAAAATCCTCTGAGGAATTAGAATTAGAAAATCTACATTTCAATGAAAGCTGTGACTGAAAGCTCCACAACAGTTAGTGGAAAGACTTTGTGTAGAGTTTTTTTCTCATTCAAAGGTCAAAAAATACTTTTAACCTCAAGGTATTTGTTGAAGTTTTTGTTGTACGTAAAAAAAATTTATAATATTTAATATTATATTTGAAATGGTATTTTGTGAGTTGAGGGAGATTTGTTTGGGCCATATTTTATCATGAAGGTGTGTGATGCTGATCTGCTTCTTCATATTTCCTTAGGTGGATATAGTTGAAATGGCTCTGAGCCAGAATGAGATAGAGGTCAAAGGGCATGAACAGGCCCATTAGCCGTGAAAGAAAGAGTGGTGACATTTTCAGTCCTCTTCATGATGATGTGAATTTGCAGTTTTTTTGTGTGTGTGTGTGTGTGTGTGTGTGTGTGTGTGTCCTCAGTGAAGTGTATCAGTCTCTGCAGTAGCTTCCAGCTGCAGCAGTCACTTCAGTTTCTGTTCAGTCTGACTGAGGGAGGTTTTTGTACGACGCTTTTTACTGTGTGAACACCACTGACTGTTGATGTAATGTGCACTCTGACAGTAGTAAACTGCTGCATCTTCAGTCTGGACTCCACTGATGGTCAGAGTGAAGTCAGAGTTTGATCCACTGCCTGTAAAACGATCTGGAATCCCTGATGCTCGAGTGCTAGCAGCGTAAATGAGGAGTTTAGGAGTTTCTCCAGCTCTCTGTTGGTACCAGTGTAACCAGTTAGAATTGTAAACATTCTGACTGGTCCTACATCTGATGGAGACGGAGCCTCCCAGAGCAGAGCTCACTGCTCCAGGCTGAGTCACTGTGACCTGGCCTCTGGACTCTGAGGATACAGAGACAAAAACATAAAGCAGCGTCATGGTTTTGTGGGCTTCATTTCAGAGGGACGGATGTTCATAGAGGAGAGGAGTTTGATTCTCTGGACTTTACCTGTGAAGCAGCAGCAGAGGAGAGTCCAGATGAGGACGCAGATCAAAGTCATGTTTTTGATGAGGAGGATTTCTGTGGCTTCTGTTGTCATGAAGGACAGCTGTCAGTCATCCAGTGTTCAACTCTCAGGACTATAAACTCTCCCAGAGCACTGGAGCATGGTGCTGCTGATGCAAAGTGGCTCTCTATGGAAATGCTCTGACTGACTCCAGCAGGGACTTGGATTACTCTGATGATGCAGTTTATCAATGGATCAATCAATTTATCAATTGATAAGATTTTTAAAAAACCTCTTTTATATGATTTTTGTTAAATATTTTGTTTAAATAGTTCTGAGTTATTTCAGTTAAGTGATAGAGAAAAAATTTAAATTTAATTTAAAATGAACTAGTGCTGGGCAACGATTAAATTTTTTAATATGATTTTCTTGAAAATTGAAAATTGAATAATGAATTCTAAAGTAGTGTATTGCTTGATTTAAATTTACTGCTACATACAAAAATGCATTAACGTGTGGTTTGCAAAGAGCTTTTTACCAGCAGTATTCCCTTTACACAGCAGCAATAAAATATTTCTTCTAAATCTCAATTTCATCTCAAATCAAATATTAAACCACAGCTATTTACCACTGCCAGGGAATTACCTTTTATCTAGCTTGTTAAAACAAGTTACCATCAGAGTCCAGTTTTCTTGGGATTGGGAACATAAAACAGTCTATGTTCAGTAGAAAGTGTCCCTGTTACAGTGAGGTGAAGTGGTCGAGCACAAGGTGTACTGGGGTTCCTGTGAAACTGTTGTGGTCGTGCTCGCCTCACGCACACGCCCGCCTGCTGCCAAAGTTGAATTGTCTTGAACTTTTTGTACATGACACGCAGCACAAATCATTGGAAGAGAGACTGATCCTCGCTGTTTGTGAGTTTCCAGAATCTAAATAGTTATCAGGACATCAACAGGAGGGAATTCACATGGCAGAGCATCCCCGCAAAACTAAATGCAGGCCTATCAGGTAAAGTTAGTCTGTGTATAATTTTAATTTAAGTTAAAGGCTACGGCTGTGTAGCGCACAGAAGCCGTTGCCATGGTTACTATCCATAGAGCGCCTGCCGTTCACTCGCTGAGAGCTGTCTCCCTGTCTGTTCACCTGAGAACCTGCTGAAGCCTCTCCGCTGTTTGTTTGGGTTATTTTGCAGGCTGATCAACATCCCACCTCTCCTGTGACCCATGGTTTGATTGTAGGCCTATGTGTATTCAGAGCCAGTGAGCAACGGACTTTCAAAATAATTTTAAAAAAACTGTCACCGTTAATTAATGAATGCTTTAATGCGATAATAATACGTTGAGGCAGCCCTAAAATTAACATATCAAATTAAAACAGTCATATTTTCACATGTCAGCTGATAAAATGTTACAAACAGAAACTATTTTGGTGAGTTTGTTTGTGTCAAAGTCAGAGAGCCGTGTCTCTCTACAGTGAGAGGTTTTTGTACGGCGGCTCAATGAGTTTGTATCACTGTGGTACACGTTCGGTGGAGGAACCAGACTGGATGTTGGAAGTAAGTCAAACCTTTAACAAAACTTTTATTTCAATAGCTATTTTTCAACTTTTATAATCAGCATGCCAGAAAACTGTTTGACTTTCCATATTAATGTATAAAGTTTATTAAAATTATTTGCACTAAGAAACAAAGTTCACTTTAGTAATAGAAATTTACCAACTCATTATATAAATAGTAAATATACAATATTAAGCCACAGCAGAAATCATTATTTCCAACCTTAATGGTAAAGTTGCATCTTGAGGGCTTGTAGCTTTAGTTCAGTCTGACAAAGTCAGAGAGCCGTGTCTCTCTACAGTGAGAGGTTTTTGTACGGCGGCTCAATGAGTTTGTATCACTGTGGTGGACTTTTGGTGGAGGAACCAGACTGGATGTTGGAAGTAAGTTTCTGCTCAAATACTAAATACAATATTATCAAGTCCTGCTTTAAATTCAACTTTTCAATGTTTAAGGCAGATAAATATATCTTATCTTTTAATTATGAAACTTTATTGTTCATGTTTTTATTTCTCTTCCTTTACCATGGAGGCTAACTCAGAGCAGCTTAACTAAACTGTTCCTCACACAGTCCTGTCAAAATGAAATGTAATCAACTTGAAGTGGAGAAAATATAAACTTTAATCTTAATGTAAAAATGTTAGTTAGTTTAAAATGTTCACCACAATAATGGCTGTTGTTGTGATTAAATACAATTCACTTTCATGTAAACTGAAGTAAAGATAAATATGAGAAAATGTTGCCTATTGTTATGAATTTGGAAAAAGAATACAGTATTTCCATATTAATAGTGAAAGGACAACTGGCACTACTTTCAACACAGTGGTCAGTGTATCTGTCAGTAAGTGAAGTGATACAGCTGAGCAGTGATACCTGTGTGACTGAATTTGCACTTGAAAGTAACGATTTAAACTGTATCTAGTGGTTCAACAATTTGGTGATGATTGAAATCCAGATGAAGAACATCTGATTGTTGTCAGTTCATTTCTGTTTTGGTTTCCACTGAATAAATTATTGTACAGTCAAGTTTTTGATGATCTTGATAAGAAAGTTTGTTATTTATTTAGTGTAGTTGATATATTTAGGTCGTTCTGTATGATGATTCTCTCTGTGCTGATTTGCATGAGAGGCTTCTTAAAGGGAAGTGAAACAATGTGTGAGTGAGTGACTGGTGGAGCAGAAAACACATCTGACAGAAACTCCTTAAAGGAGAAAATCAGCTCTCACACAGTAAAGGTGTCCTCTAAGCTGATTGGTGTCTCCTAGGTGATGTCCGTCCCACCCTGACGGTGCTGCCCCCCTCCAGTGAGGAGCTGCAGCAGGGGAAGGCCACGCTCATGTGCCTGGCCAACAAGGGCTTCCCCTCAGACTGGAGTCTGGCCTGGAAGGTGGACGGCAGCAGCAGCAGCAGCAGCTGGGAGGAGAGCAGGAGCCCCGGGGTGCTGGAGAAGGACGGCCGCTACAGCTGGAGCAGCACCCTGAGGCTCCCTGCAGACCAGTGGAGGAAGGTGGGCTCTGTGACCTGTGAGGCCACCCAGGGCTCCCAGGCTCTGGTCTCAGAGACACTGAGGAGAGACCAGTGTTCCCAGTCCTGACCTGACTCACTGGGACTCTGCTACTGGTTTTACTCTGCTCTCTGAACTCTGTAACTCTCTCTGTGTCTGTGTCTCTTTCTTTCCTTAAGTCATTCTCTAATCACATGTTTCATGGTTAAAGTTTCTTTACTGGATTTAATTTTGATTATTTCTACACAATAAAGACCAGTTCATCAAATCAGTTGTTTTCATTTCTGTTATACTGAAAGTAACAGTGGGTAGAGGTCGCGCCCCATGAACAAGGTTGACTCCTTACTGCAGCAGCCTGGGTTTGAATCTCACCTGATCATCATAGTTTCAGTATCTGCAGTGTGATTCTTCACAGAGTCAGTGAGCTGTAGCTGTCCTCAACATATCATGGTGTTTCCCCCTCAGTGCTGAGAGCGTTGATCTACATATTTACATGAAGAGGATACTAAAAATCTGGTAATAAACTGTTTCAGTGATTTTGTTTTTCATTCCAATGTGGAAAATTAGTTTAATATGGTCTGCTGACAATGAATAGTGACGTTATTTTAATGCGCATTGACGACAGATTTGGTTGTATATAATATCCAGATTTTCTCAAATAAAGAAATGACAAGTCAAGAGCGGAGGCTGAAGCTGGTATATGGTATACGTCTGTCTCCTTCTTTCCTTCTGTCACTCTCTAATCACGTTTCATGGATAAAGTTTGTTTACTTGATTGTTATTTCTACACAATAAAGACCAGTTCATGAAATTAGTTGTTTTCATTCATGTTATTGTGAAGGTAACAGATCAGGAGCGTAGTTGTCTTAGTTGAATTTCAAATTACATTTAAATAATCTTTACATGGAAATAAATATTCTATTTTAAAAACTAAACAAATATATTATTATTATTATTATATGTTGTTACCTCTAACTTATCCACTTTTCAACTCATCTACAGTAGACATATATATTTCATATACATACATATGGTGTTTCACCCTCAGTGCCGAGAACGCTGCCCTACATATTTACATATTTACATGGAGAAACATTGAGAAGTCTGGTAGTAAACTGATCCAGTGATTTTTGACAGTTTGTTTTTCAAGTTTGATCTTTTTTTACACCCGATTCACTGGGACTCTGCTACTGGTTTTACTCTGCTACTGCTCTCAGTCTGTCTGGTTCTCAGTTTCTCTCATGAGATGTTTCAATATGGACCTCAGGTGGTTAATGTGCTTGTGTTGATCGTTGATTGATTTTTATCATGTAGACTGGATTATAACAGAAACTTCCTTTCTTTGACATAAAGTTAGCAACATTGGTGAGTTTCACAGTAACAAGTTTATTTTTACCATATTACTTTTTGATGGTTTTTGTTCTTTGCTATTACTAATGTCATCCTTGGATAACATACACATACCTAGAAATGATTAAAAGTATATTTTATAAAAGGAAGGTATTATCTGCATAAAGTCATTCATGAGTCTGATTTGATATATTGCACCAAATAATATTTAAATGAGACAGTATCACTTCGCCAAATGAGAACGACCGTTTCTGTCTCTTGGTGTCAGCACAATTAACACATCCCATTTACCAAATCAGCTGTATCCCTGCAAATTATAAACATATAACTGTTGTTGTTGTTGTTGTCTTAAATTAAAACATTTAATCCGAAGAGACTGGATTATTCTTAGAGTCAGATCACCAGGATTTTATACTTTTATGTGAACATTTTAAACAGAAATAATGCTCAGTGCCCTACTCTGTACTGAAACGTTCTCTGTTATATAGTAGTTTATCATGTGTGAGCAGGGTTGGGAGGATTACTTTTAGTTACTTTTGCATTATTTCAATGCCAAATAGGCAAATGAAAACAAGAGATGTATCAATGATGTGTTTTCTGCTCAGTGTATTTTTAAAGAAACATAGAATAACAAAATTTCCTGTTCCCAAAATCCATATTTAAATGTTTTTATATGATCTGCTTTGCACTATGTCACCACTATGGCAGTATCTCGCCCATCAATGACAAAAACATTGTTTTGTAGGTATTCTTGATGATATTTAAGTTTGTCATTTGGGAAAACATTTTACAATTTTGATTACTCACTCTGCACTTGTATTAATTTAGCATGAAAACAATATAAAGCTGCTGAAGCATAGTGTTTATGGGGCCGGGCCCCACTCATTACTGTACAAAAACACAGCTTTCTTATCTTATTTGAAAGAGAAATATTAGAAATATGGAGAAAATATTTTTCTAGTTTTCTCTCTGATGTCCCCCGGCTGCTCTGCCTCAACTCTGTGTCTGAGTTTCCTGATGGACAGATAGCTTTACTTGTTGTTGAAGTTTAACAAGCTAACTAGCTGCTGTTATTAGCTCAGTTAGCTGTGCAACTACTGGTAAAATAAGTTTACTCTGCCCATACTGGGAGATCGGATCACCGGGGTAGTGTTAGTGTTTACCATAGACTGTAATGTTATAAAGGTGTTTAAGTTACACGGGGTGCGGTGTCTGATTGGGAACCGTAACCGGGCGAGCGGGCAACAAAACCTCGCTCAGCAGCCTCCCAGTGAACACAGCATGAACAGGACCGAACACAGCCTCAACGACCAACAGGGAATCCAGTAACTTACTGAGATGATTTACACATTTACTTTTTGTTAAACTGTTAACTGTAGCCTATCTGCCTGTATCTGGTTGGTTACTTCGGTCGGTTAGCGTGCTGCTAGCGGTCATATAAGCTTACTCAGCCCCGGGTTGCCAAGAGCCAAACCCAGCAAGAAAACTACACTCGTACTGTATCCCCAGTGGTCAAATTGGCCTCTGTCGGTCTCGGAGGCTGTGCTCGGTTCTGGTCCAGCTGCGTGTTCACTCACTGGGAGCTGGAACCAGAATCTGCATGATGGGTCGGAGGCGTAAACACACATTCACCGCTATGGCGACTGTAAACGCCAATCAATGTCTGCGACATGTCCCACCCTTGCTTTGGCTTTTTACCAGACTGTATATAAAAAATATATATAGTGGCAAATAGCACAGCGTTTTGATTCGTGGAAACTTTCTGCTTAAAGGAATCCCTATGAGTAATCCCTGTTGTGGGATTGCGTGGTGTGGGGACAGAGAGGACCCAAATGCAATGTTCGGAGGGAAGGAGGTTTATTGAGGGAGAAAGGGGTAGAGGGACTGGAGTGGAGGAAGAGGTGGATGTCGGGAAAGCACAGGCACGGGGAACCAAGGAGACAGGGGGCCACGGAGCCGGGGAACACTGGGGCCGAGGAAGCGAGGAGAGGCGGGGAACAGGGAGGACGCCGTGAGGAAGTCCGAGGAGGAGAGGGCCGGTGGATGAGCCCAGCCGACTGAACGGAGGACGAGGGTGAGTGTACCTGGGAGGGAAACAGACAGAGAGACAGGGTTAGGGATGACAGCGACAAGGCACAGGGAAAATGCGAAAAAACAAGAAACATGAAAGCCTGAACGTGGGGGTGGCACCGGGTATGGAGCAACAACGATCAAGCGAGGATGGTGTGGAGAACCGGGGATGAAATACAGGCAGGCGTGAGGTGATTACTGGCAGGTGTGGCAGGCTGACGAGGTGGCTGATGGATGCAGGTGCAGGTAGTTGGCTGGGCTCAGGAGCAGAGGGAGAGAGAGAGAGGGAGAGAGAGCACACAGGGGAGAAAACACAGGGAGGCAGGCAGAGAACAGAAAACCAAGGAAAAGGCAGAAAAACTGATAAAAAGGAGAAAAAACCAGGACACTCACCGTCAGCCGGGCTGCCACCACAACAAATCCCCATCATTACAAATGTACCTGTAATCTGATTACGTCTTTATTTTCTGTACTGTAAGGAATACAGTTAATTTTTTTGTATCCTGATTACGTAACGCCGTTACATGTAATCCGTTACTCCCAACCCTGTGTATGAGTTTGACAGTCTTAAGGGTTTTTTTTCAAAGCATATTCAAATTATTGAGCTGAAATAAAACAGTGTTAGTTCTGACTTATATTGTGCACAAACTGCATAAATAACAAGTGTAAAGACAATATACCCAAAAGACAATACTACAAAAACAATACAAGATAAAAGCAAGAAAACATTGAAAAGACTAAAATACACGTTTAAGATCAATATAAAATTAGTAAAAGAGAATAAAATGAAAGGGATAAAATAAAGTCAAATAAGATCGGGAAAAGCTCTCCTATAAAAGTATGTTTTAAGAAGGGACTTAAAAGAGTTCACTGACTCAGCCGACCTGATTTCCTCGGGCAGGCTGTTCCAGAGCCTCGGGGCCCTGACAGCAAACGCTCTGTCCCCTTTAGTTTTCAGTCGAGACTCTGGAACAGACAACAGACCTCTGCCCGAGGATCTCAAGGTACGTGCTGGTACGTATGGGACTAAAAGTTCAGAAATATAACAAGGCGAGAGGCCATGAAGAGCTTTAAAAGTGATCAATACAATTTTAAAGTCAATTCTAAAACCTACTGGGAGCCAGTGCAATGAAGCTAAAACAGGGGTATTTAAATATATGTATTTTTCATGCTGAAAGTGTTGCTGTCGTCTAACATGTTATAGTTTCTCTGCAGCTGTTGATTCAGATCAGTTCCTCTCCAGCTGAGGGAGGTTTTAGTACAACGTTGTATCACTGTGTGAACGGGAAGCCATTACAGTGCTGACAATAATAATCTCCTGCATCTTCAGTCTGAACTCCTCTGATGGTCAGAGTGAAGTCAGTCCCAGATCCACTTCCAGTAAAACGATCTGAAACTCCAGACTGACAACTTGTAGAATAATAAATCAGGAGTTTGGGAAATTCTCTTGGTTTCTGAAGGTACCAGTCCACCTCATTGCTAACACTTGAACTGGCTTTACATCTGAGTCTGTCCTGGAACAACAGACTGAGCTCCAGGAGACTGAGTCAGGATGATTTCTCCTGATGAATCTGGAAAACATGAAAAAGAGGAGAAGGGTTATTGAGACAAATCCAGTTTGGAGAAAGATGATCAACATCCAAACAGGAGTGTCTCATTTCTTTAACATGGAGAACAGATGGAAGAAGGTAAATGCTGCTTGTTTCAGTGTTTCTCCATCACAGCAGAACATCATTGTGGTGAACCTGGTTGCATCCTGAAGCAAAGTTTTCAGAAGAGAGTCTCACCCTGAACAAGGAGCCCCAGGGTGGCCAGCAGTAGAATCAGTGAATTAATGAAGATGGCGCCAGTGTGTGTGGCCAGCCGTCCGTTGCTGTCAAATTTGTTTGTATTTTTACTGTTTGTGTCACTGTTTATACAAAATATTGACTCTCTGCTGGTCTACGATCGCCAAACGCTGCTTGATCTCCGATTCTCTGTGGGAACAGTGATCAAATATGATCAGGGTGGACAGAAAACTTTTCTCCCTCCTTTGCAGTCAGAGATACCTGCTCACCTCCTGTACAATCTGCCGTCACTTCCCCTGAGAAGTCACTCCAAGTGGCGGGGGAAACGCCAGCTGGTGACGCTTAAAGCATATCTGGCGTTCTATCCTGGATCTGATCGGACTCCCCAAGGCTTCTTGGCAGAGTGCGGATCAATTTATTGTCGCAGTGTTTCCTGGCGAGTCTTGGAGCCTGCTGACACCTGACTGGTACCTGTTGTCAGCACGGATGTGGAGGCCCAGCTTCCTCAACAATGTTCACCGCGACCTCGCAGAGGTGGCGTCAACCACGGATATCTTCGGCTGCTGAGTCGAGTACCTCAGACGGCCAGTCCGGCAACACAG